AACAATAAGTCTAACATAGAGATATAGAGACAAGCTACAATTCACACTTTTCTGAACACATCAAAAAGAAAGAGAGAACATACATATCCATATTAATATATTCTATCTTCTACCTCTTTCTACCACAGTAAAAAACTCGATTTTGTTCTATCAATATCATATAAGAAAAACATGTGGACGATTCAATTAAGGGAAAAGCCTATAAGGATGTAAGGCTATAAAATATAATAGAATAGACTAGATTTTAAGACCACATTTATTCCGATGATATTATAAACAAATCTACATACCCTTTATATTCTTACAACATTTTTATAACTCCATATGTTATAAAAAAAACATCAAATCACCAGCCAGCAGATCAATCTACTCCAATAATTTGTCAAATTTATTAATTGGATTTTCGACTTTATGGTCAATGCAAGAAAGTTGAAGATCTAATAGAGAAGGTTAAGAGGTCGACCTGCTGGCTATCGTATATACAAACCAGAATCCTCATTTAGCTTGCCTACTCTATTCCTCTATGAATTCATCTTAAATGTCGAAATGACATGTGTCAATGTCATCTTGACAACGTCAAACTAGTGTACACAGATAATATATTTACAAGTGTAACTACACAGATACCCGTAACACTGAAGAAATAATAATTTCAATCGAACCGAAGGTAATGTTAAGAAAATGCTGAAATAATTTTTTTATATAATAATTATTTCACTTAATTAACAAAATTGCAATAAGCAACAAGTATGATATTTAGCTACATTGTTATTAAGATGTACATTTATAATAATTCTTCGTACAATTCGGACCATTCTTCTTTTTTGTTTTGACGTTTCTAAATGTCGTGACCATTTTTATTTTGACTTTAAAACTAGTTTCTAAACATTGGAAATAAGGTCTATAATGGAGTTAGTGGAGATGAATCCCCACACAATTAAACACGTTATATACAAAACCGCCAAAATTTGTTTGAATCTTTGATTTCTTTCCACTTATTAATATGTTTAAGTCAAAATAAAAATGGTCACTGTACTTAAAAACGTCAAATCGGAGAAAAGCCGAACGTTGGCCGTGTTTGTAAGTATATCTGTATCAATAAAATTTCCAAATCATTGGAATGGGATAGATTTTAACAATTCCATCGTGTGGAATCATGGCTCCGGTCTTTCTCAATTTATTCAATGGCAATTCTGAGTGACAGTAAAGGATAGAACCAAAAAAACTGCTATTTAATGCTAAATGTTGTCCTACCTCAATAAGGTAGATAGCTAATTTTTATTAGAATGTCCGTCTGGTAGATTATTTTAAAACATTAGACACGTATTTTTCACGACGACAATTTGATTTGAAATGTCGTGTGACGTCACTTCTAGGTACGTTTTCTACGTAGGAATGACGTTTTAGTTCCCACTCCTTAACTTTGATTCGTTTTATCTAAGAAATGTTTTGTTATACACCAATATAAAAATATATGCGTGTAAAATGTTTTCATTACCGAACTGACGGACTAAATAGATTTTTAAGTTAACCCCGTGACATCCCTATTGATTGTTTATAAGCATTTCACATCAATATTAGCATAAGTAAGTATGAACAGTCTGAGATTTCATTACTGGGTTTTTTCTACATAAGAAAGGTGCACCTCCACGCTTTTTTTTGAGGGGGGAAAATCATCCATTGACTTCTCTCGCCTGGGTGCGGTGAGGGAGTGTCAGACTCTTACTGACTAAAAACCACCCCGTTCCTACTCCTGCACTTCGAGCCGGAGCCCCAGCAACCCGTTAAGTTCTCCGCGGCTCCCATCTCCACGCTTGGCAGGCGAATTGGAGATCAGCATAATACAGATATACAATCAAAGATTACCCATCAAATGAATGAACCTCAATCCAGAAGAATCGCACAACTAGATATATTACAATTTACACCATCAATTACATATAAGATACAAAATATATGTCACAGATAATGTCATATCTTTATATATTTTCTCGATATATGTTAAGGGGCCTAAGAAATCAGTTAACGGGAAGAAAAGAGAAGCATTTGAAAATTATTCAAAATATAATTATTAATCAGTCTTAAAAGACAGTGAAGTCCCTTATTAGAGATTAGAATGGGGAGAATATTGTATTATACGATTAATTATTGTTTATCGGCTTACTCACGTAACTGTTTGACAAGGAACTCAAATAGTTTCAAGCTATTCTAGAACATTCTACAACACTATGAATAGTAGCGCGACAGTCCCCGCGTCGTCGTGTGTCGCCGAATGATACTCATGAATATGAGCCCCTGGTATGGGTTGAAACTAGTCAAGTTCCTCGTCAAAAAGTTACGTGAATAAACCTATCAACATAATAATGAAATTAGTACGTCCCACGAAAGTTATAATACAAATATACGATTACTGTTTTAAAACTCCATTATAGTATTTATTTCTGCAAAATATAAGACATATTTGTCCATTAATTTGCGCATAAGTAATTCATTATTAACAGTTTTCTTGAAGGATTAACACAACTTAAAGCAAAAAGACTTGAGTCCAGAAAAAATATTGAGTCCATATTAAACTATTATGTAAGGAAGAGACAACGAAATGCATTCAAAGACGATGTTTTTTTGATATTATTTTTTAAAGATCACGATTATAAATAAATTATTATTCCAATAATGTTCATATTAACCAAGCATATTCAAGCAAGTTTCTACAGGGTTACAAGTTAAGTCGACCCAAATCCTTTAAGAGGTGGTAGTGTCCACCAATCCTGACCGATTTGAATAAGGAACCCATCCTAAATTTAACCGTCTTTGATAAGATCATTCTAATAAAACCTTATGTTATATTATACCTTATCGGAAAGCTGAAGAACTGTAGACATTTTATCGTATATCTACAGCACACCAATCTATGCGGGTCAAATCTGGACTCCTGGCTGGCCACATCCATGGTCCACATCTTCCGATCTACTTAATGGGATATTTTATTTTATTTTTTAACGGGTTAAAATCAACGAATGACTTCTCCCGCCTGGGTGAGACGGGAGGGAGTGTCAGACTCTTACTGACTAAAAACCACCCCGTTCCTACTCCTACCCTTCGAGCCGGAGCCCCGGCAACCCGTTAAGTCCTCCGCGGCACTTATTGGGCTATTTGTCTAGCCTCTCTCTGACAGTCCTTCTGTAGTGTACGAAGCAACCATATTGTGATGAAACCACATATCATAAATGAGGTTTAACTATATATCGTTAAGCAAACTAGAACCAGATTCTTATTTCATTTTGGCGTCTTGATGTCAAGTTTTATCCGCGAATCCTAAAAATACCCTAGCATGTTATACCTTATTAAAAAGCTGAAAAATCGTAGATACTATATAAAATACCTGCAAAACGTCTGTCATAGACTTTGTTTAAAATATCTTAAAATACTAAGAAAACAAAAACTTATCACAAATTTATTTCAGTTATAATAATCCTTGTCTAGTTAATAGGGTAGACAACTAATTTTTATTTTAATGTCCGTCTGGTAGATTATTTAAAAACACTAGACACGTATTTTTTCTTTTCTCACAGAAACGAATAGTTTCGAAGATATATTGATTTGAAATGTCGCGTGACGTCACTTCTCAGTACATTTTATACTAAGAAATGACGTTTTAGCCCCCACTCCTAAACTTTGATTCGTTTTATCTAAGTATTGTTTTATTATACGACAAAATAAAAAAATACGTGTCTAATATTTTTTCATTACCTAACTTACGGACTAATTATATTTTTAATTTTCATACCCTGTCATCATCCCCATTGCAGTTTTATGGTTTGAAACATTAAAGTAACTATTTTTCTACACATAAATAGCACAACGAGAACAAAATTGAGACACAAAATAGGGGGCAATCGACAAAAATCTGGAAATGTTAGGAAAGAAATTCAAAAGCCGATATCTTGAGAACAGTTAAGTTTACGATATGGGGTCCCTTAATCAAATCAGTCAAGAATGATGGATACTACCACCTCTTACAAGATTTAGGTCGACTTAACCTTTAATCCCGTATAATAATTTGAACGCAATGGCTGACTTCATACATGTTATTAAATATAATCTACTTGAATTACACAACAAGGAATAAAATTACCAATATTTTTACGACGATCGATTGGTGTTATTGATTTTTCGAAAATAGAAAATCTAATATTTCTGCTCTATAAACCGTAATAATATTAAGGTCATCAACAGACATAGAACTATGTCTAAGAAAGGAACTTGATATAATTTAAGGATAATAGATCAATTTTCAGCTTCATCTGGTATAGTTTAATACAGATTATAAGAATGGACTAGATAGTACAGTCGTGATCAAAAGTATTCATTTGTATACAGCGTGTTATAAAAACATAGAGCTTAGTACGAATTCGTTTAACAATAACGAGTGGCCTGCTCCAATAAATCAACCAAGCAGACGACGCAGTAACGTTCAGACCTCGTCACTACATAGACGTATGCTTAGATCTTTAAAACTACGCAACGGATTTTGATGCGGTTTTTTTTTTTAATAGATAGAGTGATTCTTAAGGAAGGTTTATATGTATAATACATGCATATTGCACCCGTGCGAAGCCGGGGCGAGCCGCTAGTTAAACATAAACCGAAACTCGGACTAGGCTGTCCTCACGAGTAACACCAATAATATGTAAAAAGCAAAAAGTTTTGCAATATTATTTTGATAACATGCTGTATAAATACTAGACAATATTTCAAGCGAATGTAACATTTGAGTGTAGTAAAAAATAATTAGTAAAAAAACGTGAATCTATCGTGTATTCAGGAGTACAGTGAGCAACAAAAGTGTTTATTACACTGATTACGATTTATTCTATTCGTCGCAAACTGTATTATAAATTGATGATAAACATTTACTAATTAATCTAAATATACGAGTTATACTTGATCTACTGTACATATTATACTACGACATCACAGACTCGTGACCGCGGCTGTACCTATTGATTGGCAGTATTGAGTGTGTTCTTACATACTTCGATTAGTTCCATCAGCTGGGCGAACTTTGTGTACGCCTCCTGGAGCATGTTTCTGCAAATTATTATTATATTGTTAGACGTTGATGGTGGTGACTGCCTCGTTGGCCGTGTGGTCGCAATTACGACTGCCGGTTAAGAAGTCTCGATTCCCGGGTCGGGCAAAGTACTACTGGGTTTTTGAAAAATTCTCAGTAGTAACACGGAGTCGCGAATTGCGCCCGGTATATGGCAAGAGGCTCACACCCTATTACATGAGACTCATAACATAAATAGTGAAAAGTGGGTGTTACATTGTACAGTGGCATTAAGTGCTGTATGTGCACCTCTGCCTACCCCTTAGAGGATAAAAGGCGTAATGTTATGTTATTAGATTATTAGGTTGTGTATTGACATAATCACACGTAAGAGTAAAAAATCAAGTCATCTATTTAAAGTTCAGAGAATCTACACTAATATTATTAAGAGGAATGATTTGATGTTCATCCTTTCGTTCGTTCGTTCATTCGTCTTTCATGCTTTCGTTCTCTCGTTCGTTCGTACTTTCGTACGATTGTTCGTCGTTCTTTCGTTCGTTCGTGTTTTAGTTCATTCGTTCGTTCGTTCGGTCATTAGATCGTTGGTTCGGTCGTTTTTTCGTTCATTCGTTCGTTGATACGTGACGTCGTACGTTCGTTCGTTCATTCGTTCTGTCGTTCGTTCGGTCGGTCGTTCGTTCCTTTGTTCGTTCGTTCCTTTGTTCGTTCTTTCATTCGTTCGTCCGCTCGTTCGAAGTAGATGAACTGAATGACTAAGTACATACCTGCATTTCCCGCAGAAGGTGGCGAGTCTAGTCTTGTTGATATACTCGTTGTCCATACAGATCAGTTGCAAACTGTCACGGAATGCTTGCTCTAGAGCCTCTATACTCGACTCCGGGTTTTCTGAGCTTAATACTCTGGGAAAATAATGTGACATTGATTAGTACATAGTTTATAGGTCTACGTTATTTGTTCGCTACGCCCAGTACATGATAAATGTAAGAATAAAGCCATAAAAAATTAAATTATCGGGATTTTACTAAATCGAAGAAAAGGTTGTGTTTTTCTTAGATTTTATAAAACAAAAAAAAATCATGTCTTATTCAATCTTTTATTGAAAAAGATGTTTTAAAACTTTGTTCCCTTAAACGTAAAACTGCTGAACGTATTTTAAATAAATTCGACATACCAATAGATGCCGTGTCCAAGTTGCCTTTGCTTGCGGTAAAGTTCAATCTTCTTGTGACTTTTACTTAAAAAATCATGAAATGTCGTAGAATGGCTCACGATAATGATTAAATATATGATATTACATATTTACCCTTTAATAGCGAGCGCGAATGCAGAGATCTGGTTGGTGAAGAGTGTGAGTTTGGTGGTGAGTGCCTCCAAGGGCTCGTCCCCGGGCCACTTGTCCTCGATGTTGTGAGCCACGCCCATACGACTCGCTAGCTTGGCACTGCAATGTAATTACTTTATTATAATTTACGACCTGATTGAGATAACGTGACTAGTTTCGAGGTACTCTAGGGGCTCATAGCCATGAGCAACATAGCCAGATAAACGACACGCCGAACCTGTGCTCTTTCATTTTATGCACATTTATAATTAAAATGATGACACCCACTCTTAAGTGTTTTCAAAAATTGATAAATTGGTCTATAAGGTACACTCAAAAGTTCGGTAACGCTACAAGGTGTCAGAACGCTTTTGACAACTTCTATCTAAATACTAGCTCAACCCGTAACCTAATCTGCGTTTTTCTAAAAGTAGCCTTTTTCTAAAAATATTACTCCTTAGTACCTACATAAGCTACCTGCCAATAAAATCCCCATTAAAATCGGTCCAGCCAGTTCAGAGATTAGCAAATGTAAAGAAACAAACAGACAGACAGTCAAAAATTGTAAATAGTGTTATTTTGTATAAGTATCGTACCTATGTATTTTCGTACGACTGTCTCGTTGGCCGAGTGGTCGCAAGTGAGACTGCAGGGTGGAGCAAAGTATTACTGGGTTTTTAAAGAATTCTCAGTAGTAGCACGGAGTCTGGAATTGTGCCCGGTATATGGCAATAGGCTCACCCCCTATTACTTGGGACTCATAACATAAATAGTAAAAAAGTGGGTGTTACATTGTACAGTGGTATAATATGCACCTCAGCCTACCCCTTTGAGGATAAAAGGCGTGATGTTATGGTATGTTATGTATTTTCATGTGCATTCAGACCAAATAGAAATAGTCATATAGAATGTGTGGAAAAACATACCAAAAACTGGACATAACAGTCCATACATTTTCGAAGGCGTCTATGACCATGAGTTCACCATGTTTCTCGTCCTCAGCATCACAGGCACGGTCATTTAGAAGCCGGTCCACCGTGACCTTCGCTAGTTCCATATATTCTGGAATAATCTGACATTTCTTCGCCACTTCTAGACATAGGTCCTTGAAATTTGATACCTCGGAGTCAGTTAGGGATTTTGAATCTGAAAAAGGAGAAAATATTGAATGTGGAGTCGGTGATAGAAAATATGTTAAATATTTTTTTCTAAACGAATAAGTAGGTAAACATGGACATCCAAAGGAATAGGGTAGTATCCTACATTTTATTTTAATGTCCGTCTGGTAGATTATTTTAAAAAATTAGACACGTGTTTTTCTTTTCTTACAAAATTAAATACTTTCGTCAAATTTCGAATTATATCTAACTGACGGACCTAGTACATTTTACACTGTCTACTATCCTATTATCTTCTAGTGCAGGGCCGTCCAAACAAAGGCCCGCGGCCCGCAGCTTGATTTCATGTGGCCCGCGAGCCCGCGCCCGCGACACACATTTTAATCTTAACATCTTCATCTTATGTGCAACAACAATAATAAAATTCAGTGTGTCATTTATCTACAAGTTTTGTCAGTGAGTAAAGAATACAATGTTAAAAGTCATTATACAACTGAAATTATTTTTCTGGCCCTCCAGCTTATTTAGCCCGCGAGGGTATATAGTTTGGACAGCCCTGTTCTAGTGCGTTGTTGGCCGTTGGAGGTGAAATTAGGCCACCGCACTATGTCACGTAGCGTCATCATCGCTGTCGTAAGACTCTAATAAGCGTATAATAATACTACAAAATAACTATTGGTAATAAAAAGTTATGTTTTTATAATAACTATCGTGAAACATACTTAATATATCTATCTAATAATATATCTATAAATCAACTAAAAATCGTGGGTTACTCACGTGAAAATACTGAGAAAAGCTCTACTAGTACTTCAACCCACAAAGGGGGTTCTTCCTCATGAGCAGCGTGCGCGGTCGCGGCGATGTCTCGCAGGCTACTCATTCTCAGTATACTCACGTGACTAAAGACTAAAAATAAAGTTAGTTTCAAAAATCTCACCTTTACTATCAACAGAAGTCAAAGAGTTCTTCAAGTCGACAATAAGATGTTCTATCCTAGGGAACACCTCATTGAACACGGCAATCCAATGTTTGAGCAAACATTGGAGCACGTCGGCCAACGTCCAAGGGGGCGCCTTGAACAATACGTGCTGCCATAAATTGTTGTATTTCGCGCGCATTTCGTTCTGGAAAAGAGAAAGAAACTTAAAGCTCAAACTCAAACTCAAAAGCATTTATTTCAATTAAACCATAGTTTGGTACTTTTGAACGTTTTTTTTTTACGTCAACAAATATGAAATAAATAATAGTCTGTCAGTCTGTCCGTCAGTGAAGCTAGGTGTTCGTTCCAAAATGTCAATTCGAGTGGAGAAGAACGAGCAAGAAACCCAATTCGTTACTCTTTAAAAAAAAATTACTTATGATAAACAACCTTCTGCCAGCACTTTCACCTATGATACCGTGGGTAAAATTAGCTTATGTATTATTGCAGACCATAATCTACTCCTTTATCAAATTTCATCTCGAACCCTTGAGCCGTTTTCATATGATGGAGTAACAAACAAACTTCCGCATTTACAATATTTGGGTACATAATTATGGCTTTATCCCAACTGGTTTAAATATCTGGTAGACATTAGGGAAGGTCTATCTTCAGCATGTCACTCGTTGTCAGCGGATGTCGTATGACTGATAAATTATGATGATGATGCGGTCTATTCTGATTCGACGAAAAACAAAATTTCGGACGGAACTTCGAAGATTACCTACCACAATCACATTTATTACGAACGAGAAAGGTATTCCTTTGTCGATACAAGCCAGAAATTAGTAAAATTTTCGGAACCCTACTCTAATTGCACAATCCGCCCGAACGAAAATTCGAGTTTGAAAGATTACTCTTCGGAGGTTTAATAACAGTCGGTAACAGTCCACTGCCGAAAGTAGGTTTGCCAGACTGTCTATACTTGACAGCCGAGATGGAAATCATAGTTTAAGGTTTTGACTGCCAATAGAAAACTGTTGAAGGTAAATCCTCAGCTAACGTCGGTCACCGATAACCCCCATGGCGTTTAATGAGTTCAAAGGTTCAGGTTTATCAGAGAGCGCTGCTGCTTGGGGTCTATCCAATGAGTAGCCCCTTGTTCAAGCTTATTCCAATATAATACAGGCGGAAAAACCAGAGGAGGTGAACACTCTTACTAAAATATACTTAATGAATATCTCTAAAATTTTATGCCGTGGTCTAGTTTACCTCTAGAATATTAGCTAGCAACTGATATATTGTGGCTTGGTAATGCTTGAGGTTGTCGAAGGCATCAGGATCCGTCTCCTGAGGAGGAGGAGTCTCCAGCAGATCGTTTAGCTCAGCCAGAGACAGACTCCTGACGTTGTTAATTTCTGCCTTGCTGCACAGGATCTTGTCGTTTGAGAGCAGGATCTGAGAAAGTAGGAGACAATGCATAATGCGCAAACTAATATAATATAATATAAACTATACAGATTTGTGAATTAGCCAAATCGGTTCAGCTGTTCTTGAGATTTGCGCTTAGTAACAAATTTCGCGATTCATTTTTATTTTTTTAATTACAAAAAATATATTACGAGCTCATAAATATATTTATTTTATTTTACACTTTAATGCACACAAAATAAGGTACATAAGGCGGACTTAATGCCATATGGCATTTTCTCCCAGTCAACCTTTGATATTTCGATTCTATTGAAAAGTTTATTTATTTATTTATTTTACACTTTATTGTACACCATAAAAACATACATAAAAAAAAAAACAAACATAAAAGAATGTGCACAATGGGCGGTCTTATCGCAGAATGCGATTTCTTCCAGACAACCTTTGGATGGAGCCAGTATTCAGGAGTTTGAAAAAGGGGGTCGTCTAGTGTACAATAATTAAAACAATACATACAATATAATACTATCTATACCTACATACCAAATAAATAATATATAAAATTAAAATAGATATAACTACTATACATAAGTGAGTGTGTGTGTAGATGTGTCTGTGTGTGCACGCGCGCGTGTGTGAGTGTGTGTGTGTGTGTGTTTATGTGTTTCCATGAGGTAGGAATTTTTAAAAATAATGACTAAAGAGAGAGGTAATGTTCTTTAACTAGATTTTTAAACTGAGGTAGAGTTTGAGCACGCCTCACCTTAATCGGCAAGGCATTCCACAACCGAGCCGCTTTAATAGTGAAGGAATTACCAAAAAAGGAAGTGGAGTGCAAACTAATATTTAAATTAAGATTGTCTGATGATCTCAATAACCTTGTATGTGTGTCACCAAGGAACTGAAAACGTTCTTTTAGATAACAAGGGGCAGCAGGATTGAAGAGTATATTGTAAAGTAATGAGAGAATATGAGCATTCCGGCGAAGTCGAATAGGTAGCCATTTGAGTTTTTTTCGAAAATCTGAAACGTGATCATATTTGCGCAGTCCAAATATAAACCTGATTGATAGATTTTGAAGACGCTCAAGCTTATCTAATTGTTCCTGGGTGAGATCGAGATAGCTGGCATCAGCATAGTCGAGGATCGGCAGAAGAAGAGATTGAGCAAGGGCAAGTTTAGATCCTAATCAAAAAGTTTAGAGCTCGATCGAAAAGTTTCGAGCTTAATCGAAAAGTTTCGAGCTTAAGGTGGATGGATGATGATCTCAAATGCCATTTTGTCGCTAGATGGCGTAACTTCCACAATTTGGAACATTTTCACGTTTTACGCCTAACTTCGAAATCTTTAATAGATAACTTTATTGTTCGCGAAACCTAGGGCATTAACTTGATTTTTTAGATAGTCGTTGTGCTTGTTATCTGGTCTCATACAAAGATTACTACAAAATAAAGATTTAGCCGCTTCACTTTACTGTTTACACACACATGCAAAGTAAATAGTAGTAACTTTCGACACCACCAGATGTCGTTATACTATAAAAATATTAATTTACATACTTGAAATTATGTTCCCATCTATTTCTTATTAGTATAATAATTGGTCTAAGTATACTTTTGTTTCTAGACTCGATATCTAGCAAATTATTCATAAAATTTATTTTAGGTAAAATAGGTACCTACACTGTACACTATATACTATATCCCTAGACCCTACACCTGTCGCGGAGAACCTAACGGGTAACCGGGGCTCCGGCTCGACGTGCAGGAAAAGGAACGGGGTGGTTTTTAGTCAGTAAGAGTCTGACACTCCCTTCCGCCTCACCCAGGCGGGAGCAGTCATTCGATGATTTTCCCCCCTTAAAAAAAAAAAAAAAGACCCTACACCTAAAAAATTGTTGTAATGTGACTGAACCTAAATTGTAATGTGTAAATAGTGACTTTACTAAATAAATAAATGAAAGACTATTTATTCCATTGTAAAACTTTTTATTGTACCTTACTATAAATTAATAATATTTATTTAGTAAAACTAAGTTAACATTTTCATAAAATAATCGTTTTATTTACTCTCACTACATTTACTTAGATAGTTTCCATCTGAATTCAAACCATGGAGTCATACCACCATACAAAGATAACATAATTTTTTAATTGTTTTGATATTTACTTAGTTTTATAATTTTAAATTTAGTATTAGAAAGAATTATTATGTATGTAGATCACAATATAAATAACATCATAAGTATATATAACGGCACATGTAAGTTTGCAAGTATCTTACATTTATTTATTTCAATTAATTAGTATAACATTATTTTTTTATTTTATTTTTTTATTTTATTTATTTGGGAAAATTAACAATTATACACTATAATAATACATTATAACAAATATCAAAGAATAGAATAAATGTATAATCAACGACATTCTCCACAGAATACAAAAAAAAGTAGTTAAAAGAAGTCGTACAATTTAGGTAGGCACACTACATACATAAATTCACAAACAAAACTGATACAGTCATAAACTATAGTTTACAATGTGTCTAAATTATAATTTTTTACATCGGTAAAAAGGAAGCGATAACATAATTAATCAAATACAACAGTTAATGAATATGCATTGTATGTTTAAATGGATATATATAAAAAAAAAAACACCTTAAAAAAAAAGTATCTATGAAATAATTATTGAGTCCAATCATTACCAGATTCCCGGACAAGGTTTCTGAATTTATTTTTAGACGCTGCGAACAAATCAATGTGGCTAAAATATTTATTGTACTGATCAGCGATGCGACGTAAAGGTGCCCTTAAGCCTGCATTAGTATGACATGAGCCAACGAAGAATACAGGTCTCGAGCGCACCCCACGGCTCACTATTGTTCTGGGCACTACATACCGCATTCGATTGGAAATGTCCATACAGTCATATGCATTGTTACATAAATCATACAAAAACATAGTCTCCAAAATTAATCTCCTAGTCTGAAGACCGGGAAGTTTGTACCTTTAAGCAAGTCATTATAGCCTGCAGCCACACGAAAACAGCGATGATGAACAGCTTTTAAAAATTTATTTTGTATTCTTTCTATACTATTTGAATATTTAATATAAAAGGGATTCCACACCGGCACCGCATACTCCAACTGAGACCTGACCAAAGACTTATAAAGATATAAGTATGTACTTGGGCGTAAAAACTCCGTTGACGATCTCATCACAAACCCGAACATACGTTAGGCTTGCCGACAATCCTACTTATGTGTGCATCTAGGTGTTTATCATCCAGCAAAACTCCGAGATCACGGACCATGGCACTCTCAACAAAACAGCATTATTTAGGGAATACGGATATCTAATAATCTTTTTATTCTTTGTGAAACTTATGCAACAGCATTTTGGAATGCTAAGTTTTAGTTTATTTTTATCGCAATATTGACCAAATCTATCTAAATCTTCTTGTAATAGCTGACAATCCTGAAAGGTTTTTTATGGTTTTAAAAATTTTTAGGTCATCTGCGTAAAGGAGTAATTTGGAATATTTAAAACAGTTGTTTATGTCATTAATAAACAATATGAAAAGAAGAGGCCCAAGAATCGATCCCTGAGGTACTCCAGATGTTGCCTCTATCGTAACAGAGTTATAACCATTGATAACAACCCTCTGGGTTCGATTTGAGACGTAAGAAGCAAACCATCTCAGCAAATCGCCGTGCACACCATTGAAGGCGAGCTTAGCCAGAAGAGTTGGTGATCAACCTTGTCAAAAGCTTTTTGAAAATCTGTGTATATTGAATCGACCTGTAAACGCGAGTCCATATTATTAAATAAATAATCTACAAAATTAACCAAATTAGTTGTAGTGGACCTTCTTTTTACAAATCCGTGTTGTTCCTGTATTATTTGATTGTGAAAGAAGGGATAAACTTTATCATGGACTAGTCGCTCAAATACCTTTGACAAAGTAGACAGTATCGATATAGGACGATAATTCCTGATATCCTGCTGAGAGCCTGACTTATAAACTGGCGTTATGTTTGCACTCTTCCATAAAGTAGGGAAGACACCTTGAGATGGATTGGTTGTATATATATATAAGGGGATACATAAGTGCTTAGCTGTATTCTTAACAAAAACTACAGAGACGTTATCTGGACCTGGTCCCTTAGATAGATCTAATGATTTTAGTGCCCTTAGTACTTCATTGACATTAAACTCAATGTTACCGAGCAACGAACAGCTTTCGGAGCGATCTCTATATGCATTATCATGCATGTTATGCAGGGTAGACTCCTCATAAACCGAGTTAAAGAAACTAGAAAAGAGATTGCATATCTCTTCAGGATCGCTAGAGGACCGGTCGTTATAAGTCATATTAGAAGGTATGCTAGTAGTGGATTTACGATTCGATATGTACTTCCAAAAGTGCTTAATGTTCGTCCTAATGCCATCCTCAACAGATTTAATATATTTAGTGTAACAGATCTTACATTCAGTCTGAAATCTCGACCTATACAACGCAAACTGTTCATAATCTGAAAGATTATTATATTTTTTCCATTTACACCAAGCTTTAGTTTTATTTTTATAAATGTGTATCAGGGCTTTTGAGAACCAAATTGGAAATTTCAGTGACCTGCATTTAATCAGTGGTGTATGTGCTTTAATTAATTGAAAAATGTTGTTATAAAAAATGTTAACATTATCATCCACGGATTTGTCACTACTCAAGATGTCATACCAATTGATTTTGCTTAAATTAAGGTTGATATTGTCATAATCAGCTTTATAGTAATTGTATTTTTTTATTTGTTTACGTATTCTAGAGTTTTGGGGTAACCGAAGAGATGTCAGAACACAAAAAGGGGGATGATGATTATCACACTTTAGTAAATAATCTGAGGGTGAATAGATCGAACATGCCTCATTGCTAATGACCAAGTCCAACAGCCTTCCGTTGCTGTTTTTTATAGTATTGTACTGGTAGGCATTAAGTATAGACATAAAGGTAGCCAGGTGTCCA